CCGGATGCTATCTCTATGATAATATATTTAGCATTTTTACTTCAAAAAATTTCCGTTTCTGTAGTGACCCGCCACCTAATTTAGTCATACTATAATTTTTACATATTAATCATGATTACTTTCCTACTTAACGACCTGGTTTCTATTCACTAATACCGGTGTACCGTTTAATATGTATTTACTGTAGTCTATACTGTATTATGTAATACTGTACATGTGTAATATTGTACTTATTTTTGTACACTATATATGGAATATAATAAATCTCTTTACAGTTTAAGTAAAACTATTGCCCCAATAATATAAATCAATTTAATTATAGCAATTTCTATATTAAGGAGTAAATTTACAAAAAAATGCACAATGTCATAACATGAATAAATTGAACTAGCAATGTTTTTTCTTGAAAATAAACTGCTCATACTGTATTATATTTATAGTGCATTTTATAGTGCATTTTATAGTGCATTCATAAGTGTTTATAATGAACTACATATACATTAAATTTACAAGTTTTGACATAATATTAGTACTAAATTACATCATGTGTTCAATCATATCCAAACAGAGTAGAGTAATTGTAAACCAGTATTAATTAATGAACAACGAATAAATTAAATTTCAATACAATTGTGAATTCAATCTATCACTTTGCATATTGAATTATATGATATTGAACTTCAATATAAATAGTATTATTATATTCTCTAATCTTATTTAGTATTATACTGTACAACAAACTTTGCTATCAATGACTAAATCTCATAGAAAATTGTTTTCGCATAAAACCATTGAAGCGCAAAATTATTTAGACTCTTTTGAAACATGAATCAAATGTTGTGATATCGAGAAAAATCGTGGTCTGCCTCTTAATAACCCCATCCCTATGTATACAACATGAATACCCATCCCTATGTATACATTGTATACTATACAACATGAATATTTAACTGTTACACTGTATAGTATAACTTACATACCAGTAATTCTGTATATAATAAATAATAGAAGTGAAAACTTTTGTAAACTTAAAATTCTAGCGAAAAATTCTTTAAATACGAGTTCAAAATATAGGGGAAACATTTGATGGGCACCTCTCGGCCCCCATATTCAACAGAGTTTAGGCCCACTAATAGCCCAAATACCCCCCGAAACGACATGATATATAAATTGAGTTTTTATTAATTATTATTAATTTTCCAAATCACTGATCGTTTCGATGGATAAAGCAGTGCATTAAACGGCTGCACCTTTTTCTTAGCTCCCGGTGCTGTCAATTACTTAGTATTTCATAATTTATTGTTAATTTATTTATAAATATTGTATAAATTAATAATAATATAATTATGATATTATTATACGTTTTTATTTATTATTAGATATACAGTGATATTACAGCGAATACTAATTGTGAATAATAACTGAATACGAGTTGCATCCCATTCCCCATCCAGTCAATGTACAGGTATATCTCAATTGCTTTTGAGATTAAATCGATTTTAAGTGTTTCGACAATATTTAAGTATTTTAAGGGCAAAAGTCATTTGCTATTCATTTCACAAATTAATAAATCATTGACTTCTCCGCCAAAGAAATTCAGACATTATTTTTTAAAAATTTATTTAGACTCCACACAATAGTTATGTTATTGGAGAGATTAGTTTAAATAAAATTAATTAAATGTTGAAAACTGGACAGACAGACACATTTCTAGTATGTACTGTCATGTCGTGACTTATGTCATACGTGTCATGAAAGCCGTTAAAGTAGTTAAAGTATTACTGTTAAAGTATTTCTTAAAGTATCTTATAGTGTGGAGTCTTATATAATAATTTAAATGTAATAAAATATTACTACACTATACTATACTATACTATATTTTAAAATCTAATTTGCATCTATGAAAGATATTGGTTGAATTAATTTTATTGTACTTAAAATTTATTGAAAAAATTCAGAATTAAATATTACCACTAATTTCAGATGAAAACTAAATTCATTTCAAAGTAATTTATTAAATAATTAATTATTTGCAAAATTATTATTGTACTGTACTATCAATAAAAATATCGATATTTCAATAAAACTGTAATATTTTATTAACAATTACAATACAATATATTATTATCAATAATATTTTTCACAATACTGTATTAATCAACATTTTATTTTGTTAAGACGAACAATTTTAATCGATTAATAACAAGTATAAAAATTAATTACACATATAAAAGCCCACAAACCCCTTATTTTCATGACATAGTCTTACAGTTCATGTAATTGTATTCAAAAATAGCGCTCAATGTATCAGTGAGTGTGACGTTATCTCAATGCACACTGAGTGCCACCCATAAGCCATAATCACACTTATGCCGACCACACCGGTATGTATGGCTTCATTCATATAAAGAGGGGGATGGTATTCATACAACCTAATGCTTTACCACACTTTACCATAAATGTATGGTGCCATACGATAGCAGACTTGATGTGGTCAGCCATATGGTGTCCATTGATATGGTTTGAAAGTTGTGTTTATCGTATGTCTCGAAAACACCCAAACATTGCATTCAATTCATTGACGTAAATATGAATGAAATGACAATCAATTCATTGACGACTGCTTTAGAAATACAATTAGAGATCACTTTCCATACAAACATGTGTTGTGTTTAGCGTATTGTCTATTAAATGACATCCAATTCATAACTCAACTAATAATCACCACAAATACGAGACAATTGTCCGTTTGATTGTTCACTGATTCTCATCGCAAACAGTTCCGGAAGAATGCAGTCATCGGACTCATCCCAACCGACACGCCCTCCACGGCTGACGCGGGCGTCGAGTAAGGAGTCTTCAGTGAGTAGCAGCTATCAGGTGATCGCCAGATGTCTTAATGACTATGAGATGACCATTACTTGCAGTCTGTCTTAAAGGGAGGTCTGTTGATGTCAGTGATCCGGTCGTTGACCTCTTCGCGCGACTCCATGGATAGGGACAGAGAGAGGGCTAACTTAGAGCGAGAGTTCAAGGACTGCGACCAAAAGCTGTCGGCGCTCGTCGTACAACACCATACGGACCTCTTTCAGGTGACTGTCCATTGATAGTGACTTTGTTAACACCAATATTAACCACATATGTCTTGCATTTGTACCGTTCAGGTGATGTCCGCGTTCTCCAAGATATCTCAACGTCTGAAGTCCTCGCGCGAGAGGGTTGTCATCACCAGAGATAAGCTGCAGACGTGTCAGAAACTACTGCACTGTAAGCGCGACGAACTCAAGAAGTTATGGCTCGAGTCGGTGGAGAACAAAGTGGTGCTCGAGCTCCTGGATCGGGTCGAGCGTATGACTACTGTCCCACATTCAGTGGACCAATACATACAGCGCAAGCACTACCTGCACGCCACACGACTATTGGTCCAGTCGTTGAAACAATTGGACACCGATTTGGTGTCTGTGGACGCGCTTAAAGAAGTGAAGTCCGATTTGGTGGACAAAAAGGATTCGCTGTACGAGTTGATAGTGGATGAGCTGCACCGGCATTTGTACATCAAGTCTACCACAGACCTCGTCAAGCGTTTCAAACGTCACGGATCTGTGCGACACACGAGTGATAACACACCGGCGCGCAAGATATCAGTGGCGGATATACTGTCCCCCGCCGTACAGATTGGGGTCACATCTAAAAGTGGGTTTTAGATTGAGTTGAGATTAGTTTTTATGTCATTTTGCGATAATCTATTGAATTATGTGCAGAACAAAGGACAGCACAATCCATGCCGTCGATGGGCGCCGGAAGTAGTGGTGAAGACAATGTAGAAGAGGACACGAACATTACGGATCCCGAAGAGGACAGTCGACATTTCATTGCGATTTTAATCAAATGTTTAGGACTTTTGAACAAAATTCCTGAAGCGGTCGACGTATGTCTCATCAAAACTAATTATTTAATCAATTGTTTAATTCATTTGTGTGTTTAATCCGACAGACAATCAAAGAACGTTGCGATAAGGAGTTGACAAATATAGCCAAACGGACGGGCCGTGAGGTAGCGGCCGATGCGCCCGACGGCTCGGACTGGACGGCCACTGACGGCACTAAAGGGTTGTTCCCAATGGTGTTGAGCGCATCGGCTCTGTTAGGCAACTACGAGACTAAACAGAAAACACCTCACATTCTGCACAACTTTTTGGATCTACTGTTCCAACAATACCGCTCTGTCGTCCATTTACACGATACAGTCGTGTTGTCTAACCTAAGGCTTATGGAATCTACTGGTGTCACCATTCCTAACATATACACAATACCTGACGTGTGGGCTAGAGTGCAGACAATAGTTCAGTATGTGATGGATCTGTATTTGGACGCCAGTGGCACACATACCGGTGTTAAAGCTAATCAGACGATCAGCCAGTCGTCGGTGGTGTCGACGAGCGCCACCCCCGCAGACCTGTCCTCGTATTTCATCAAAAAGAGAGGTCTGACGGCAGCCGTCACTACCATGAAGTCCGTGAAGAAGGCGCCGTTGTTTCGGTTTGACCACTCGTCGCACGCCATCTCATTGAACGCATACTTAGCCGAGCAGAAGGAGGCGCTCAAAGCCGAGGCACAGGGAGGAGCGGGTGGTGACGACCACGCTATGGATTCGATAGACTTCGGACTCAACACCGGCACCGAACGATACGTTGTGTGTCCGCCACAGCCCGAGAATATTGTCGTTATGTTTAATCCGTTGATGAGATTTGTGCGCGAAGTGGAGGACGAGTTGGAACTGGAGGCCGACGCCGGCAATCATTGCCCGCTATATCTGTATCTGATATCGTGTGCGAAGACTTTCTGCAATCAAATATCACACGATTTGGAGCGCACTATGGATTTGGCGAACAAATCGCTCGACGTTTGGAAACTGCAGACCGACGCCGAATGGCTATCGGCTGTAGGGCTGACCCGCCCTGTACTGCACAGCACAGCGATGATCGATAGGGCGGTGTTTGATCTCAAGAACCTGATGTTTGCTCTGCCCTTATTTGCCGACGACTTCCTAACACTGATATGTCAACTGTTGTCCAATTATAAGGAGGTATGTCTGGCCGGGTATAGGGCTATCGTACAGCCGGAACCGGACGACAAGCGTATCATAAGCGCCACGTGGGCTAAGGACGAGGACATCAATCGATTTCTCAAGTCTTTGCCCAATTGGGCCACACTATTGGGCGCCCAGTCCTCTGCTGCGGACAGACAGCACCGTAAGCCACACGTTCGGCTACTGTCTCAGGAGTCCCGACAGACCTTTGATGGGGAGTCACCCGAAGAGGTTCGGCTGAGGAATATGCGAGAGTCGGAGATACTGACCAGTAATCTGTCCCAAGAATCCTCTATACCGGCCCACGAGATACTGACTGATGTATCGCAGCTGCGAATACTCGGTCAGCTTCAGGAGTCTATGGAGTGGTTGGGCCGCCGGTGCGATGAGTTGGTCCAGTCTATGCCCCAGTCGAGTGACGGTAGCTTTTTGGCGCCGTCGGTGACCGAACCCAAGTCCAACTTCGAACTCATGCCGTTGTCCGACGTGTCGATCGCCACTCTTAACCAACTGTCCCGTGATTTCGAAGAGTTGGCCCAGACTTGCCTTCTAGTGCTGCACCTGGAGGTTAGAGTCCACTGTTTCTATCACTTGTTGCCGTTGTCTCAGAGCCCGTTCGCTATGGGTATCGACAGTCAAGAACCAGACCCAGAGGTCATACGGCTAAACAAAGACTTGGCGGCCATTGACGAGGCATTGTCAGTGGTGTTGGAGCCCTGGAAGCTCCGGTATGTTTTTGAAGGGGTCGGTCATTTGGTGGCCACCATTCTCATCAATTGCGCCAATAGTCTGAAGAGAATCAACAGCAATGGCGTCAAAAAGATGTGTCGAAACATATTTGTTATACAACAGAGTCTGACCACTA